AAACAGTCCCTTGGTCAAATGGCTGGAAATTGCAATTATGCTGGCAGTAAAGTGAGAGAATAAATGAATAGTACATTTAAAAATGCTGAACAGACTAATTTGGTTTGATAATAGATTTCACCGCGCGGCGGCTTATCCTCCTGTGTCTCTTAAGAACTGCTGCCTCGACAGCACACGATGGCTTTGTGGGTCTGCAATTTCCTCTCCACTTAAAGGGATATTCAGAGTTATTTAAGGAGAAAACACACAGTGGGAAAAATTAATTTGTTTTTAAACACTAACAAAACCCTAACCAGGAAAACAAATGACAGGATGTTTACGAAGCACTCCTTTTAGAAAAATAATATAATTTATGGGACGTTCGAACTGTAAAGGACCAAATTATAACATGTTTGCTCAGAATTTGTCCACACTCCATATGGGGAGGACGTCTAATTAATTTCTACTCAAAACATTTCTAAAAGTGGAGGAAACCTGGTTGCTCAGCACACCGTACATCATTAGCGCACATGCACCATCTCAGAGGAACCTTCATTTGAGGAGGAAGAAGTCTCTTCCTTCGCTGTGAGGTTAAAGCGTGGCTGACAAGTGAAGAAAATCATCAGCGGAATGCATTAATTAGCTGGACCTGAGCGCGAGCCATATGAGAGTTATCTGATGATCTAATAAAGACAGGACAGGTTAACGGAATAAAAGCTCCTGCGTCCACCGTAGGATCGACGTGATCTCACGTGTAAACGAGTCATTATCATGTGACGATAAGTGAAGTGACCTTGGAGTTTTGACGGTGACTATTGGCTCCTGCTGTTCACCTTGATAAAAATGTCAAAGCTATCCCCTCTAATCATTGGGGGAGGGAGAGGGGGGAGGAGAGGACATTTGGAGAAGATTCCACAGAAAATGGCCTAATATTTGTTCAGAGTGAAGGAGACTGATTACACAATCCCGGCTAGGCTTGTGCCAAAAATAAACATTTATTAAAATCCCCTAATCAGAAAGGAGTGCAGCGGTCCATGGAGGAGATAAACAAGCGGCTGACTCCGTCTGAATCATCTAAATGGTGTCAATCACAGGAGAACATGCGAGGTGCTGCCCCTGGTGTGGCTAGCGATGACTGATGACCCTTCAGAGGCGATGGAGACAGACACGTCAGATGGAGGGAGCTCATCTTTATGGTGGAGCCATGGAATTGTTAGCAGGATGTGATGGCTTGCATCCGCTGAGCTGAGCTGGGAAATAAAGCTGTTGGGCTCGGGCTGCCTCGCCATCATTCACAAAGGTAATGATCTCTGTCTGCCTCAGAAGTAAGTAATAGTCTGCCCGCTCTCCAGTAAGGGCCATGACACAGTGTCGCTGACAAAGTTGAACTTGGACAGATGAGCTTGGGTCAGGACACGGCTATATTTTAAATACATTTAACAGGCAATTTAAGAAAGATTAAAATGGACTGTAAAACCCTGGGATTCGGAGCAGAGCTTAAACGATGACTCGTGCTCGATTTCCGGGCCTCGGACCTTTTGGAGATTTTATCTCACGGCCGTGGAATGACTCGGTATAGCTGCAGAGCGGGAATAACGGCCGTACTAAAATATAACTCTTGCAAAAAAAAGGTGTGATATGCCACGTCGTGACAACAGAGACGTTTCCGGAGAACACACAAGAACACACGGGGCTATCAGCAGGCTCCCAACAACACCCGCCGCGTGTTGTTGGGAGTACAATGGCTGCTGAGAGGCAGCAGTCAAAGATCTGGCTCCACTCAATTATCCTCAGCAAGGTAATTAATCAATTCACTATATGCACGTCCAAGTCTCAGAGGCGTCTTTGAGATAATTGTTCTCATTGACTTGAATAATTATTTGTTTGCTGATTTAATTATTTTCACATTTGGAAAACAAATGAACATGTGCTTCCTGCATCTAAGCCAATGCATACATGTGGGTTTACTTTAGCTACAGGACACGCGCTGCAACCCAGTCCTTATGGGTCGTACCTTTATGAACAAATAATGAGTTGTTCATTTTTAAATTAAAATTTTCAGGCAGACTCGTAAAAAGAGTGGTTCTATATGAAATTATATGTCAACTTATTTTTCAGAATGACTCAAAATTAATACATATCACAGGAAAAAGGAGACAAAAGGTCATGATAAAAAAATCCACCCACCACCATGGGCTGAAAACAAAAGAACTTTGTGTTTTGTTTTGTTATATATATTTCTCTTCTTTTTATTTACTTAAAAATGAATTTAAAACAATATAAAAGAACATTTCTTTTTCAGTTTTCCATCATCTACCTCACTTCAAGGCCACCAGGTAAGCTCTCAGTGACAAACACAATGCCTCCTCACAGCAACATGGTCCACAGATCACTCTCTGGCTGCCGTAGCAACCGGTACAAATGATGGGAGCCAATTTAAAGACACTCACTACTTTTTTTTTTCATGCCGCTTTAAATGTTTTGCTCATTTGTTTCCATTAAATATTTCATCTTACCTTAAATATTCATTTAACTTCCTCTTTAAATTTTTCACCAGTCTTTTTGCGGTTGCTGTCTCCTCGCTTCCCTTTTAGGCTTCACTATCATGAATAATTATACAGCTACACCCAGAAAGAGATTGCATAAAACATGCACATGAATCCTTTTTGTCTTTTCTCATTAGTGATATACTTCAAGTAGCCTAAATACTTCCCGCTACCCCACTTATGGAAATTGATTTGAGAATCTTCCTAATGATTCTGCTCCACAAATAGGCGATGCCTCCCTCTCTGTTCATCCCTGCTTCGATGATGAAACCAGGGGTCTGCAGCAGGAGCTGATCTCAGATCTGCAGTCCATGTCTTTTTTTTTTACTATCTTTTCTTGTACAACTGTTTTTTTCCCACTTTGAAATATGTGAGTAATTTTGCCATTGCTGTGATTGTGAATGTTTTCTTTATCCTATGAAAATGAGCATTAAGGACCTTGAAACTGAAAATGTTTATGTGTGTGTGTGTGTGTGTGTAGTTTTTACCATTAACACTGATGCTTTATCACTTGTCTTTTCCCGGTGTGGAATGAATAAAGTTTGAACTAATTTCTTATCTAAGCTGCATTGGAAAAGACGAAGATTGGCACAGATTTCAGAATATGGTGTCAAATACTATAAACCACTGTTCTTCACGTTTGCTACAAACACCTTGAGGAACTTATTATTAATATTTCAATTGTGTGTTCCATTCAAAACATCACTGAATGGAGAAGCAGACTGAGGAGACAACTAGCTTTCGAGCCTCATAGAGCTTAACGTTTATATAGAAGTTCAGCAGTTTTTGCAATTTGAATATAGAAAAATAACGAAAACATTTCTCTAACTCATCAAACTTTTCTTTTCTACTCTTTTGATATGAATAGTTTCTACAGATTCTTATTTCAAAATGTGTTTATGTCTAACCAATTAAATTAAGTTGTTCAGTCAGGACACTATCTACCTTTGTCTTTTGCCTAATTAAAAAACAAGGTTTAAAGAAAATGATGAATTACTTTTTTTGTTGTTGTTTTCATTGCGTGTTCAGGAAATGAACCGACTTGTCTGGAAGTTGAGTTTGCATCTAGGATCATGTCTTTATTAGTGCAATATGTGTTAATGCATTAGTCTGACTCCACTGATTCATCCTGGCTAAACAGGCAACATTTGTCTTAATTTGTAAGATAATTGCAATGTGACTCATTAGCAAACAGCAGCGTGGCAGAAGGTGGAAGGGAAGCACTCTTAATTTGACTGGATTATCATTTTGTGATGACGCCTAATGATCCAGCAGAGTAAATAGCAACGTGTTAATTAGGAATCATGCTGAATGAGCCGCTGCACACAGACGAGGTATTAGCTAACGCAGTATCCCAATATTACATCTGTACACGTCTTCCTCTTTTTTTTTTCTACCACAAGGTGTGTTTACAAAATACAAATTACTTTATAAGTCCTTAAATCCCAAAAGGAAAACTTTCATTGTATCTGTTGCAGTGTTAGTGACTGTAGATAAAAAAGGGTATTGATTTAAGTTTGATTAAAAAAAAACGTACACATTCCTAACTATTTAGAGAGGGTCAACAAGGACTTATCTAACAGGAGACGTATACAACAAAGAAAAACACTATTTTAAAAATGTCCAAATTACTACAGAAACAAAGATAAATAAATAAAAATCACAATAGAAAATGTTGAAATGAGTCAGTAACAATTAGTTATGACTATGATAAAAAAGATACATTTTTTCTTTTCACAAAGGCTCAAATTCTGACTGTACGCAACAAAGCGTCCTTCATTGTAGAATTTAAATGGCTATCTAACTCCATCTAGTGGCCAAGATCAGACCGTGGTGAAATAAAAGTCATATTTCAAAGAATTACATTTTGTGATGTTTAATGAAACAATCAAAACGTTATTGATTGATTGATTGATACATTTCCACAAATGTGTTCTAAACAAGTTCAATGAATACATTCGTGTGGTTTTATCAATTTGTTATTCCACAAATTCCAAGCTACAAAGTAATGGAGATGTTGTTCCACACCATCTTTTAATTTTAAATAGGGATGTCCGATATTAACTCTTATTAACCCAGGCATTGTGTGATCGGGTTTTCATTATCAGAGGAAAGGCCGATAACGAGTCTTACAGATATGACATCATTATGCTTATATCGGGACGATACTATCGGTCGGCCGATTTTATTGGACATCACTAGTTTTTCATAATTTAATTAATTTTCTCTTCTGCTCTTCATTTAATAAGTGATTTAAATTGTGAATAGCTCTTTGAAGCACAGTATAGGGAAACCAGGTTTTTCTTCTGTTGAAGTTTTATTGTGAATGATTAAAACTTGATGATGATTAAAAAGTCACCACAATCTGTACTGTGACACTCTTGGCTTTATTGAGTGTACGTGGAATCTGACAGTAAACTGTTGTCGTCACTAGAGGGCAGTAAAACAGATCATGGAAGAGACGAGACAAGCCGGGGAGGCCACTTTTTGTTGTTGTTGTTGTTGTAGTAGTGGCAGTTTCAATGGCCTCACTTGGCGCTTTTAAAAAAGACTCCGATGCGATAAAGGCACTCTACCACTTTTCTTTTATATTTCTATTTTAATTCAACTATTTTAGTATACTTTTATGTCTTGTTAATAGTTTCTAAGTGAAGAATGAGTTTGTTATTGCGGGTAAGTGACGGGCAAGTCTGGCAACCCGCAGAAGGCTGGCCACCTCTCACAGCTAACTTACGACGTAACATCACAAAGTTTCGGTTGAATAATATGAAAGGCCCAGTGAGTTAAGTCAGCAGCTTGGAACTTTGTTCTCATCATGGAACGTTTAAACGCCACGTTCTGGTACGGTTACAGTTTTATCAACTGACTTAACTCGATTTGACTGACTAACATGGATGTGTTGACTGGACGGCGTTAGCCGAGTCAGTTCAGAGCCCGAAGGGAGGACGGAAGGAAGGAAACTGATAGGAAGGGTCGCTGTGCTCCGTTACATTTACAAAAGCTAGTGCAGTTTTTGGTCACTGCTTGAGTTAACACCGTGGCGCATATAGAATATTAACTCCGTGGGAAGTCGGTGAGACTTTTAACATTCTTTGCTAAAAAGATATGCTGCTAGCAGGCACCGCTAGTTTTCAAACACAGTCCTTGCCAGTTGTGCACAAGAGAGAGCTAGCACGTTAGCTTCAAACTTTTAGGAGGAGTTGTGTTAATCCGATTTGGTGACCTATCAGAGTTGTTGACTGGAAAAACAGGCGCGTCTGTGTTTCACCGAATGACACCCGGTGACTGGAGTCACAAACAACCCCATGGCGTCGGATGGGACTGAGAGTGAAGCCGTGCTCAAAGGTTTGAGTGAAGTCAACTTGAACAATAGCAACCCTGATTGTGTCACACCCAGTAAGACTCATGATGTGCTGGGGAGAAGACACACTTCCAGCCCCTCGTCGTCTGGGGTGTCTGGAGAAGGCGAGGAAGAGGAACTGGATGTCTATCAATGCAGCACAGTATCCACAGGTAAAAATGGCGAAGAAACAACGCAGGCCGGAACAGTAACAGGAGTCGAGGCACAGGAAGGAACGAGTCCAGACAATGAGCTGAAACAGCCTGCAGCGAGAAGCTCCACTCCTGTGAACCTGTCCCAGAAAAACCCAATATCTGGACCTATGGGCAGGTATGTTATATGTTCACTCTCTGCTAGCTATTGTCCTCCTTACACGGTGGTGGTGGTCTTTTTGAAAACAAATATGTGTAATATATATGTAAATGTGGCATTTACTGCCTGTTGTGCAGATGTGTTCAACATGCAGCCAGTGGTACATCGATAATGTTAATGCTCAGTAACATTATCGGTCATTAAGGACTTGTGTTGTAGCATTAAAACACACAAATACAATATGTTTTGTAATGCAAACATAGGATATTTTATGCTATTAAGTTATCATTATTATCTTCTTCAACTTTCAGCTATTCAGATTTGTTGTTTAATTCATAGATGAGAACAAAGTATCCTCTCTTATATCTCTTCCCATCCCTGCACTGATTGCACAGAGCTCACCTTAGATCACAAATGCATCTGTAATTATGAGCTTTAGCTCTGCTTACAGTAGGGAGTCGTATTATGTGTGTGTTTACCTGCATTTATTTTATAACCACAACTCTTAGTGATCAAAAAATGTTCAGTGGAAGGTTGAAGCTGTTCCTGTGGTGCTCTTTCTATCTCGTCTATCATCTTCTGGACAACAAACAGTTGTGTGTAATTTGTGGCATTACAGTTTTGGTAAAACCCAAAAGCTCAGAGTTGATTAAATCTTTCATCAATTATGACTAAAACTCTTTGATGACTTACTGCAAGTAAAACCTGTTGAAAGGATGTGTATTAATCCTACTAAACACTCACTGAAGGAGGCCTGTAATGATGTTTTACACAGATGTGCAACATCAAGCATTTAGTGATGACAATTCAATTCAAACAGCTACATATTTATAATTTTTAATGAGGCGTTTCTCACACTGTAGACAAACATCTTGCACTCTACTGAAATAGAGGAACAAAATGAAACAAACAGGAAATGACACAGCAAATAGTACTCTGCATGAAGTATTAAACATTCTGTGAAAAAATACAGTAATTGTCAAGTGAGTTGAAAATTTGACTATGGGTTTACCCAACTCCAACATGATTGCCTGCCATTATTTACACATTCATTTGTCAAGTTATCGTCAGTTTGCCGGAGTGCACGCATGGGCCCTCAAGTCTCAGTAACCCACATTCCTGTGACACTCAGAACTCTCCCGCTGCTGGGCTTCAGTTTATCTGTACTCTGGTGATTAGTGCATGAGTTAAGGACTCAGGACATGAAATTCTATAAAATGCCAAGAACCAAATGTCTGGAATATTTTATGTCACGAATAGACATATTTGTTTGTTTGTGTTTGTGTGTGTACTTGGTGTGTCAAAAAGGAGGCTGTGAGACTGATATGCCATATTTTACAACCAATCTTTCAACAGAAGCCTGTAAGCTTATTAACAGGCTAATAATCTGATTAGGTAAGTGGCCACACGCCAGGGATCTGAGATCATTGATCTACCCCAGGGTGCCTGCACTGTTTTGGCCTAGGAGCTACTACTATTCAAATGACCAGGCTAAAGTGATCTGCTTACTTTAAAAATGTTAAATATATATTTACTAATATAAACTAAACATATTGTATATTTACAATACCTGTTGGGCTCCTGGTCAAATGCATGAAGCTGTAAAATAGTTTGTTAGTTTTATGAAAAGGTTCCCAAAATCTTTCTGCATGTGGTTAGGAGTATTGTCAAGGCCTCTAATGTTGACAGGTTGGTTCAAATTCTAAACTATTTCTTTATAGCTTTATTTTAATGTCAATTAACTTTAAAAACGTATCAAGAGGAACAAAGGACCAAAAACAATGCAGGATTTGACTCTTGGAGTATTAATAGGATTTCAGTGTTTCTCTCTGAATCCTTTGAGGAATTAATAAGCAATTGATAATCCTTACTTACCCAGGGCTTTCTTACATTTTTCTTTTCTGACAGACTTTATCTTTTTACGTTTGTAATACACAGGATAAAGTGTAAAACCTGATTATTAATTTCTTTTGGTTTTTCCGTGGTTTCCAGTTTTGAGCGCCAGGAGTCGGTGGCCACGACCGAAGCCCGTTTACGGATGGAAGGAGTAGAACTGAAGGAGGAATGGCAGGATGAGGACTTTCCACGGTAAATAATCCTTGTTTTCATAATTCAGCGTAGATCGTAGCTTGATCATGGCATACGTGTAGCTTGCTTTTATTTTGAACTCACCTGATGTGCCACTGATTACCTGATCCTCTCACATTTGAACGCCAGGCCTCTGCCAGAGGAGGAAGAAGAGCTAGAAGAAGAGCTTTTTGCCGGAACGTCTGAAAAGGGAGACTCTGGTAATGAAAACATTTGTTTTAAAATAAAATAAAAAATTTCAATTCCTGTATGTCCCATTACATCTGCCATATCCATAAAGAGTAAAGTTTTTGTGTCTAGTGATGTTTGTATCTGAAGTTAAGGTAGTGTTTTGGATTCAAAATCTAAATCAACATTTGATTAATTGCACAGCCTTTGTTACACTTCGACAGAGGACAGACCGCTGTACTGTTTTTTTTAGTTCTTTTACTGTTCTAACTCAATCTTGCCTATTAAACACCTGAAACTATTATTTCACCAAGATCGTAAGCTACAATTCCTAGCACAGTTGCTATTAAGAAATTGTGTTGCTGAAATTCGTCATTAAACTTATTATAATATGAGTGTCTTTTCTAGACTACACTATCAGTCATGGCAAGAAGGTAAAGAAAAAACTTGCAGCTCCAGACATCAGCCTGACATTGGACCACAGTGAGGGCTCTCTCCTGTCAGAAGAACTGGATGAAAGTACAGAGTTGGACCTGGACGACATTGACACACCATCAGACAACAGCAACGAGTTTGAATGGGAAGGTAAACAACTTGTTTATCTATAGCAGTACTTCTCAAATAGTGAGGCGGGCCCCCGTGGAGGGGGAGGGGATGAGGGGTGAGATGTCGGGGGTGTGAGGGGCTCCCAATGGAATATGGCACACATATGGACCTAAATGTACCACTGCTGTAATGCATGAATGAACAGCAAGCCTCCAGTCACTAGGTGGCAGCAACTCATACAGTAGTTTCTACAGACAAATATATACATGTTATTCGGTTCTCAATACTATTTCAATTCGCAGGGGAGTGGGGGGGCACCAGTGGTTCTTAATTACTGTAAGAATCACTGGAGTCCAACCACATATTGTCGTTTTTCACATGTTGAATTTGAAAACTACCTTTATGAAATCTTAATTGTGCTATTCACTGTGTGACCGAACATTTTGTGGATTAATCCGTGAACCTGTCACACAGTAGTTGATGCTTTCCCACAGCAGCTGTTTTTCCTGCTTTTTGACCTCATTGGTATTTTTCCTTCAAAGGTTTTTTTAAGGTTTGACAAGACAAGTATTAACTAATTGTTGATGTATGATTTGTGAATATTTTTGTCTTTTGTCTGTTTCTTCACTGCTGCCCTCTGCTTTTTCACTGGGAAGAGTTGTATCCATTCTCTGCCTGGATACAGGCTGTAGGCCAGCAACAGGTTAACCTTTTCCCTGTGGTAAGGTCTCTGAGACAGATCCACTTTATTCTGCCGACCATGAGTTAATCAACCCTCTTTTATTTTCAAAAAAAAAAAAATCTGGTGTGATTTGTGTTTTTATACCCTTTGATTTCAACTTGATCCTCTGCATGTCGTTCCTATGCAATTTGTCTTGTGTGTTCCAGAAAATAATGTTTTTCAGTATGAACATGTTCATAGTTAGGTGATTTAACTTCAGTGAAATTTATCTTGGTTCTTTTTTGTGCCCATAATCATTTTCTTTACCTGTTTGTATTTTCTGGTGAAATTTTAAATTATCTGTTCAATGAACACATTGTTCTTGATTTTCCAACTTCATTTGTGGGAAACCCAGTGTGAAATCAGTGAAACGATACTGATTTACGAATGCACTGCATTTTTATCTAATTTTAATTTGTTTTTGATCCATGCTTCTCTCACGATCATTTGAATGTTTCATCTTTTTGTTACGCAGATAATCCTTTTCAGACTTCGCTGTAGTAGTTACAGGCAGATCCAGCAGGTGCTGCTGTTGCTGAAAAAAAGTAGACAAAGACAGTTTTTTGTTTGTTTCTTTTTGGGGGTGGGGGGGTGGAAGCATGTCACCTATCTTGGGGGGGGTGGAAGCATGTCACCTACAAATGTGAAATCTGACCTCACAGTCCACCAGGATCAACTGCAAGTCGTTGAAAAAATAAAATTGAATCAACGTTTATTGTTATTTTTAATAATGATGCAATCTGATATCATTTAAGAATCAAAACCATCTCTTGCAAATTCTCAGCTTTGGCTCTTTTTTTCTTTCCTTCTTTAGACGATCTACCAAAACCAAAAAGCACAGAGCTGCTACAGAAAGGTGTGGAGTCGGTTCAGGAGTACTCAGCTTCTGATGAGAGGGAGGAGGGCCGCCGCTGGAGGGTGTTTCGGTTTGCAGATCAGGAACACAGAGTGGACATGAAGGCCATTGAACCTTACAAGAAGGTTATCAGTCACGGAGGCAAGTATCAGGAAATTAAAGCAAGCATTTAAATAAGATAACTCCTTTATTTGTCATGTAATCAAAATTTGATGTACAGAATACAGTGCTAAAGTAATAGAGATATCAGCTTCTTGTTCCTTTCATTCCACTGTTGTGTTGCAGCTGCAAGTTATCATAAAATATCTGTTAAAATTAACTATTGCAGAAAATAACAACCAAACTAACTACAGATCAGTAGTTATGTTGCTGTTGTCACCATAACACACATTTGCTGCATAACCTAATATAAAGATGCAACCAAAGTGTGTTTATTAGCCCTGACCCTCATGTATGTTATGGATTCATACAAGTTAATATCTCTCTTTGACATAAACACATAAGAATGAATGTAAAGCCAGAATCTGTTGTAAGTTTTTGTATATTATTTGTTATTTCCAGTTGTGAATATTGATTTTATTTAGGGTTAGAATTGAAACCTGATTGTCATACCTGGAAAAAAGCAAAAATATTTAACCATATTTAACAGCCCCTTCTTTGACCTGTCATTATTGAGGATGGTGTCAACACATGGGCTTCGGCCTCAAGAAAGGAAATAGTTTGACCTTTCATGAACCTAACCTATTTGATTTTATTTACTGCAGGTTATTATGGTGATGGTCTGAATGCCATAATTGTCTTTGCTGTTTGCTTTATGCCAGAGAGCAATAAACCAAATTACAGATACATCATGGACAATTTGTTCAAGTAGGTGTAAATTTGACTTTCACGTATTTGTTTGCAATTCTTTTAAAACTGTTAGCTAATTGTAGTCCCCTGGAACAGATATGTCATTGGCACACTGGAACTGTTGGTCGCCGAAAACTATATGATAGTGTATTTAAACGGTGCGACCTCTCGGAAAAAGATGCCGACAGTTGGCTGGCTCAGAAAGTGTTATCAGCAGATTGACAGAAGGTCAGTATTACTCCCTGCAAAGATAAAATGAAATGTTTTAATGTGTCATTGTTAAACATTGTAGTGTCATCAGCCACAAACCTGTTTGTCTTGATCAGGTTAAGGAAGAACCTGAAGTCTTTGATTATTGTCCATCCCTCTTGGTTTATTCGAACCCTGCTGGCATTAACCAAACCTTTCATAAGGTACATGTATTGTTTTATGTTTATTTGAATTAGTGAACAAAGTTATTCCTTGTAAATGTTGGAGGCTTTTTAAGGCTTTAGTTGTTTTAGGGTAGACTGGTATTGTTTGTTAAAAAGGCAGTAGCAGAAGTAGAAGTAAAAATTGTATCTTTTTTATTTCTTTTTTTTATTATTCTGTCATTTTTAAAGACATTCTGATATTTTCAATTTTTTTTCACAGCACTAAATTTAGTCAAAAAATCAAGTTTGTGTACAGCTTGACGGACCTTGCAACACTGGTTCCAATGGAGTATGTGTCCATTCCTGATTGTATCAAGCAGTAAGTATTTTTCCCATTTTAGACTTGGCATTGTAAAAAAAAATGTTGTGGAAAAAAAAGTGGACATATGATGGGTTAACCTCATGAATGGACTGCTGGTTATATTTGATATAGATGTTATATACTTTTTTTTTTATCCAGAATTTTGTGTGTGTGTGTTATGTGGAAATGACCCCTGCTTTTTTCTCTTAAGTTGCTTGACTTAGTAACACTATTATGGCATTAAAAAAAAGAAACCTTCGAACTTGTACATCAAACTTTTCTCTCCTCTGGATGTTTTGTTTCTACCGGCTGCCAAATGTTTGCTTGTTTGACACTTTTCTCCTGCCCCCTCCTCAAGGTTTGACGAAGAAAAAAATAGGAATAGCCGTAAAAGGTACATGGTAATTTAACAATGCATTAATGCCGTGCACTAAAGCTAACAAAGGGTTTGTGTTGTGCTTTCAGAGACACATCCATGCATGTCCCTTTTACTTTTCAGCACCCTCGCCAATTTCTGAGCACGTGAGTGCATGGTCTGATCGAAAAAGCCCTGCTTAACAGTAAGGGGAATAGACAGTTTGGTCCATGTCAGATACCAAGTTCAACCTTACAAACAAATTACCCAGTAGAATTTGCAAAAATGCAAAAGTTATTTGCATTAAAATGTTATAAATATCATTACAAAGGCTCTGCAACATAGGTTGTTTTCATAGAAGACAAAACTGACTCATAACATATAAGGACAGCAGCAGGTTGATTTTTCCATTAACCAATTGGTGTCATTTTGTCAGAGCTGACTCAGTGCCACGGTGGTCTGTTTGGTTTTTGTGAACTGATATGACATAACTGGACGAGTGCATGTGGAGGAAGTGAGGTGTTATCACAGGGTCACATTTGGAGCTGTCCTCATGTTACCTGTCTATGTTTAACCAGGGCTTGAGTCACTGTGGTGTGTATGGTTGAAGGGTAACCAGGCCCTCACTAAACATCTGCCTGATGCTCACTGTCGCAGCTTCTTGTACGACTGTGCTCCCACAACCTACTGATGTTCAAATGGCACGTGTCATTTGAACATGACCAAAAAAAATTCATCCTTGACTTCTTACAGCATCCACAAGAATAAAGGGTCATAAAATAAGAGATATTGTGATAAGTTATTTACTCGGTTGTCTTTAGATCAGATGTTTTTCATGAAAGTTTCAATCATGAACAATGTTAAATGACAATGATTTCCTAAAGTAGTCATCAGCCCACAATACAGGCCTATATTCATTTCTAACTTGTGCTGAGTAACATATTTTCTTTCTGCAAACCCTTTGTCCTTTTCTAGTAACAGTGACTGCTACTGACTCATGGCTGTTAAATATTTGTGTGCAGGACCGACCAGGAAATGCATGGTAAAGTGGAGGTAGCAGCTGCTGTGCTTCCACAGTGAGCTCCACTCGATGCTGAAGGCTTGGGCGAGATGAAGAACCACAGCTACTCTTGTGTCTTGTGGATGTTGTGACTGAAAATTCAAATGTTAGCATCAGGAAAGTCCCTTATGCGAGTGCGCTGCCTGTTACATTGTGCTGTATATCTGTGTTAAGCATTTCTCCAACGTGATGCCTCAAATGTTTTAAAAATCTTTTCTAAGATCCTCTTATATTTAGGCTTATTTTATAGGTGTTCTGTAGTTATGTTATATCTACACATTATTTAAGGCACTCTCTTACATGGGTGATGCATGCTCAGCCTGATGACATTTATTGTACCTATTTATATTCAGAAAGGTGACAAAGGAGAGAAAATAATATATTTTTATGATTGTTCTGGTTTTAAACCGCATTTTAGACCTTTAGACCTTGGACCCACCGAGTAGCTTTTTTTTTTTTTTTTTTTTTTTTTTTTTTTTTTTTTTTTAGAAACAGGTTAGATGACACCCTTTCACGGATCACTGCTGATGTTCTCTGATTAAAAGTCTTTCTGGGGAAAATAACGTTTGTATCTCTTCGCCCTTCAGTAAACCAAGGAGAAAATTTTGGTTTTATTATTTCTAGTTGTAAATTTCTAGTTGTTGTTTTTTGGTTTTATTATTTCTAGTTGTAAACCAGATATATAATTCAGTATACATGATACAGTTAGAGCAAGGTTTAGCCCTAGTACCTATAGATGTGGCAGGTTATATGGTTTTAGTGACGAGCAGTTGATTGGCAACCACTCCAAATAATGTTATCGCAAGGATTTATTATTGTACCAACACCAGGTTTGGCAATGAAATGTTCTCACTGTACTTTGTGCATTATAGTGACTTCTAAATTTCGGTAGCGGCTATTATTTGTGACGCTCTTCCTTCTGAGGATCCATGGGCAGTAATACAAAGTTAATGAAGAAATGACCTCTCCTTGATGATTGGTTAGCAGCCCGGAGATGCAACGAATTTAATTGTAATGTTTGATTTGCAACAAGGACATGTGCAAAAGAATTTGAAAAGTAAAGTTTTATTGACAATGGATGTTAAACATGCCACGTTTATCTTTGTCACTCTCTAACTGAAGGTTTGTATACAATTATTTTCTATAAACAAACTGCAGCTCAGACAAAAACTGGCCTTACTAGGCAAGGTCACTGTATAACAAATGCACTACGACGGCAACTGTATTTGGTTCCACTCCATATATACAATCTACAAACTAAATAGAACTGGTTAATGCTCGTTTCCAGCCCTGTATTCACTGAATGTTGTTTCTTTAACCTGCAGCGAATCATCCTGATATTTCACAGATACATGCTGAGGAACACGGATAGACCTGTCCCACTTCATACAAGGTATATGCAATTTTCGTACTATCTGGAACTGATTGACGGTAATGTGTATAATGGTTTATATAAAAATTCAACAATAGAAAATTCAATATACCTGTTTTAGTACCACTGCCAGTATGGTGAACACTGACCGTTACAGGGACCTTGACAGCACTGATGCCAGCGGGTCGTGACCTAAAGATCTATGACGAAGCACTGTTTCTATACATCTAATAACGGAGTCATCAATTCCAGGATCAAACTTGTTGGCAAAAAGATGATGTTGTCGGAACAGCCACAGGAGGTCACCAGTCCCAAACACGCAGATGGATCGTCTGTAGGCACCGGTGCAGTCACCGTACGGGGCTCCTTTTCTCACATCACCGGTCAAAGAATCCCACTTCACCAAACGAGCCTGTGCTTGCAAGTCTGACGTATCGTACTTAATGTTGGCTGGTACAGATCCGGGGACCGAGGGCATCCTCTGGAACGTGGCCCACATGTGTTCGTCTGGGCTGTACGTGTCCTTCTCCCACTCAATGAATTTCTG